CATCACAGCTGCCAAGCTACAGGACCATACGGGCCAGTACAGGAACATAGCTCAGCAGAGCATTGGGAACAACACCAGAGGCTCAAAACACCAGTTGCTCATAGACAGAGCAGTCACCCAAGACTTAAGGCCTAGACAGACCAATCTGAACACAGCCTCGATTGACTACAGGAAAGCCTATATCTCAGTGCTACACACATGGATCTGTGAATGCCTGGCACTATACAAAGTCCACAGGACACTAAGGACCTTCCTCAAGAACTCAGTGGGACTGTGGAAGACAACACTGGAAGTCATTTCAAGACAGCTTGCACAAGTGGCCATCAAGTGTGGCATATATCAAGGTGATGCATTGTTCCCGCTGCTGTTCTGCCTAGACTTGGACCCCCTCAGACAGATAATCACAAAGACTGCATACAGATACAAGTTCAAGAGTGGAACTACCATCAGCCACCTCCTCTACATGGATAATATCAAGCTGTATGCTAGGAGTGAACAAGACAATAACTTGCTGATCCACCTGACACGGATCTACAGTAAGGACATTGGGATGTCATTCGGAATGGAGAAGTGTGGCTGGATGGTAGTAAAGAGAGGGAAATTAGTTAAGACTGATGGGGTGGAACTACCAGCAAACCACACAGCAGACATACAGACCAGCTACAAGTACCTTGGGATCCCTCAGACACATGGGAACCACAATGAGGAGGCAAGAAAGACAGCAACATCCCAGTACCACCAAAGGATAAGACAGGTCCTGAAGAGCTAGCTCAATGGAAAGAACAAGATCAACACATCAACACATATGCCCTGCCAATCATCAGATACCCTGCCAATATAGTGAGCTGGCCAAAGGAGGACACAGAGGTTGCCTGGAAGCTCCTCATAATGTACGGAGGAAGTCCAACACCCAGAGACTGTACACCAGCTGGAAAGAGGGAAGGTGGGGTCTGGTGAGTGTCAAAGCTGCTGTCCTGAAACCCAGAGCATTCAGGAGTACATCAGTAAGATGGCACCCAAAGATGAGCTGCTGAGAAAATGCCTGAGGCAGCAGCAGACATGGGAGGAAGTTCAAGCAGAGGAGGTGCCATGGCATGGAATGTACCATTGACAGATAGCTGAGGTCACTGACATTGGTTAATCCTACCAATGGCTGGAAAGGGCTGGACTAAAAGACAGCACTGAGGCACTGATCATAACAGCATAAGAACAGTCACTAAGCACCAGATCCATTGAAGCAGGGGTCTACCACACTAGACAGGATCCAAGGTGCAGACAGTGCAGAGAGGCCTCAGAGACAATCTAACACTTAGTGGTAGGGTGTAAGATGCAGACCGGAACAGCATACACTGAATGGCATAACAAGCTGGCATTGTGTACAGGAACATCTGCACAGTGTATAGGCTAGAGCTCCCAAGTTCAGATGGAAGATTCCACAGAAGGTGGTGGAGAATAACAAGATCCTGTGGGACTTCCAGGTCCAGATGGACAGGCAGGTACTGGCCAATCAACAAGGACCAGAAGGCAGCAGTGGTGATAGATGTAG